CCCTCCCTTTGGCTCCCCAACCTGGAGAGTACTAAATAAAAGAAATTTAAAATTGATTTCCAAGGGAGAAACCTTGAGATACCTAAGCAACCCTCCCTCGCTATTCAGTGTTCTCCACCTGAGTTTGGACTCTCCTGCATTGCAGCTCTTGTGGTAACGCCAGAAAGATCCACACTAATGTGTTGCATCGATTTTGGGTACACTTGGGGTTCTGCCATGATCTAAACGAGTGGGGTAAGGTAACGCCATAACTCCAATCCAGTTCAGGTAGTCCTTGACTTACAGCCATTTGTTTAGCAAATGTTAAAAGTTACAACAACTTTGAAAAAGGCGTGTCAGGATTCCAGTAATCGCCCTCATGAAATCATGAGCCTCGAGCCAAACTTCAAAAACCTTCCAAGGATTCCTTAGAGGCGACATCCTGGCCCTGGCCTGGATGAAGCCAACTCTGGCCCACGTCATTTACAGTCCCCTGTGACCCCGTTTCCCCCCCTCTTCCCCCGGGTATGTCATAAATCAGATTCTCCAACTGAGCACCTTCACGGGCTGGGTGTCAACAATCATGTTCTCCCATGAAATATATTCGCGGGCAAAATCTCTGGTAGTTTAGCTACAATCTTTTAAAGATAAAGAGTTGGAATGTACTTCCGCTTTCAAACTGCTGCACTGCTCTTCCAGATTCCCTCCCTCCCCTCCCTCTTTTAACGGCAACTATCAGGCGCAGGAATGTTTGATGAGTTGACAAGGTGATTTACGACCAGTTCTCACGCTTAGGAGCATCATAGCATCGTCACAGTCACACGATCAAACTGGGTGCTGGCTGGGGAATTCTGGGACTTGAGTCCCCAGGTCTTAAAAGTGGCCAAGGTTAGTGGCTCCAGCTTAACTCAGCCAGAATATGATTTCCTGACGATTGTCCCGTCTCTCCTCCTGGGCCAGGATTGTCGAGATGGCCGGTTACACCTCCGAGAGCTTGCTTGGCTGCTCCCTCTATGAATACATCCACGCCTTGGATTCGGATTCCGTCAGCAAGAGCATCAACACCCGTAAGTCCAACGTGTTGCAGGGCCCGGTCGGTTCTTTACCATCCCCCCCGTGTCTTCCTCCTGCTGCCGTCCACGGCCCATCTGGACGACGAAGGCTTGGGGGCGGGTGGGTGGGTGGAAGGTCGGCATGGAAGGGGTCTCGGGATCCGCCCAGCCTCCCGTCATATCTTCCCCGCGAGAGCAAACGCGCATCCAGTCCTCTTCCACCTTAAAGTCTCTTCCCCATCTCCCCTCCCGCTTATCCGTTTGTCTGTCCGTTCTAGACTGTCTGTCTTTCACTCCCTATCGGTAGTGCTAAGCAAGGGCCAAGCTGTGACCGGGCAGTACCGCTTCCTAGCCAGGAATGGTGGTTACATCTGGATCCAGACCGAGGCCACCGTCATCTCCAGCAGCAAGAACTCCCAACCCGAGAGCATCGTCTGCATTCACTTCGTCTTGAGGTCAGCCGCCCACCCGCTCCCCACACTCCCCGGGGGAGGTCAAAAACTTCAAGATGGACACCATCCCCTAAGACTCACCCACCCGCCCTTCGATTTTACATGTGTTCCTATTTCCCAAACCTCCTTTATTTTCATTTATTTCGTTTAGTTTGTCAAGCATGTATGAGAAAACAAGTATGAGCATGACATATAAACATATCAGTGTTGTGACGACCCGGGGAATGACCCCAAAATAACCAAGTCACAAAAGTAGAATAAACTCCCTTTAATGCCTCCAACTTGGCCCCCAATGTCCAATTATCCTCGGCTGGAGACTGAACTCTTCAAAAAACAGCCTACGAAGGGCAGAAATGCAGTCTGAACCCAAAGTAAAGATAATTAGAAATAAAAAAAAACCCAACACAAACCACACTGAAGTAATTATGACAGCAGGATGATAAATTGCAGACTTCCACAAGAAAACGCAGCAACCACAGTTGGGAGGATGTCAAAACCCAGCTAAGCCTCAACCAAGATAATGCATGCTCTGCTTCCAGCAAGGAGCCATGTGCAAACGCCCCACATATCCTGTTCTCCCAACTGCAACTAAGGAAAGGGATCAGGGCCCTTTTCTCTCTCGTAAGCCACATTGCTCCCTTCTTGCCAGGTTTGAACAAATTTGAACGATACATTGTCAAGAGCCGCAGAAACTCTCTCCATCCAACCGAGGGTGTCCATTTTCCGCGTTGTCCCCCTTTTTTTTCTGTAGCCAAGTGGAAGAGAACGGCCTGGTCCTGTCCCTGGAGCAAACGGACCGCCAAGGCGAGCATCGCCGGCTGCCCCCGCCCTGCCTCGAAGGGCTGGATTCCGATAGCGCCTTGGAAGAGATGGACCCCAACAGCGGAGACACCATCATCAACCTCAGCTTTGGTGAGGGAAGAGGCTGGTGTGAAATGGGTGTGGGGGGGTTGCCCCCTCCCCTAACTGAACCCCCCCCAACGCTTTCGCTCCCCCAGAGCTTCGCGGTCCCAAAATCCTGGCCTTCCTGCGCCCGGCCAACATCAGCGAGGAGGAGCTGCAGCTGGATCCCAAGCGCTTCTGCAGCCCGGATCTCCAGAAGTTGCTGGGGCCCATTTTCGACCCGCCTGGGGCCCAGAACTTGGCAGGGGGCACCGGGCGGGCAAAACCTCCCGCCCCGCTTCCCAAGGTGGCTCCGGTGGTAAAGAAGGTGTCTGGAAATCACAGTCTGGTAAGGCAACCTGGAGGGACACTCTGGGTGGGTGGGTGGCCTGAATCTATTCATTTGTTTATCTGTCTGTCCATCCATCCATATCTGTCTGTCTATTTTATCATTGATTTGTTTATCTTATATATCTATCTGTTCATCTCCTTATGTCTATCATCTGTCTGTCTGTCTGTCTGTCTGTTTCTGTCTCTCTCTCTCTCTAAATCTGTCTCTATCCATCCATATCTGTCTCTCTCTGTCTATAATACCTGTCTATCCATCTGTCTCCTTATGTCTATCATCTATCCCTCTATCTCTATCTCTTTATCTATCTATCCATCCATCCATCCAAATCTGTCTCTCTATCCATCTGTCTCCCTATGTTTATCATCTACCCTCCTATTTCTCTCTCTCTCTCTCTCTCTCTCTTTCTTTCTTTCTTTCTTTCTTTCTTTCTTTCTTTCTTTCTTTCTTTCTTTCTTTCTTTCTTTCTTTCTTTCCAAATCTGTCTCTATCTATCCATCTGTCTCCCTATCTTTATCATCTATCTATCTGTCCATCTGTCTACATCCATTTATCCATCCCTCTGTGTGTCTGTCTATCTATCTGTCTCTGGTTAGAAGGATCCAGGAGAGAAGGGGCCAGAGCCGTACACACTTCTGCCCTCTCTCTCTCTCTCTCTGTTGATCACCTTGTGGTAACTTTTCCCGGCCTACAACGGCCTTCCCTTGACCTCTTTTGGGGGGTGAGGAAGGAAGAAGCCCTATCGGGGACGGAAATGGGCCCCAAGGCGATGGGATTGTGCCAGCCTCCAGGTTCATTTCCTGTCTCCCCTCCTCTCCCTGAAGTCGGACCTGCCAGAAGAGCTGATCTTCGACTTGGAGAACGTCCAGAAGCTCTTTGCATCTAGCAAGGAGGAGCAGAGCATGGAGACGGCGCTGCAGGTATGACTGCTGGGGGGGGGGGCAAGAAAGGCTGTAAAACGAGGCCAAGCTCCGTCATCTACTGTCTCGCGTAGGAATGGGAATTTGGGGGTCAGTTGTGGCTATAAGTCAAGGATCCTTCTTCGTTTTACTTTGTCCTGTTCTCAGCACGAAACTCGTGTTGCTTCTGGGTTTTTCATCCCCCAAATTGTGGGATGGCGGATTTCAGATGTTCAGCTACTCTGCTACCAAAATACTCAGCCCATTTAGGAAATAACCCCTCCAGGTTTTGGTGTATATTTCGCCGCCCCCTTCTCCGTTCTTTGGCCTGACTCGGTATCTAGGGAGATTCTCCCATCATCCAGGTCATGGCTGTCCCAAAGTGATTTTTTTCCAAAAGGCACCAAACTGTCTTGGTTTATTGTTTCAAAACATTTCCCTTCTCATTCAAGAAGCTTCTTCAGTTCTAACAGAATAACACGAGTGGGAAGGGACCTTGGAGGTCTTCTAGTCCAACCCCCTGCTCAGGCAGGAAGCCCTAGAACATTTCAGACAAATGGCTGTCCAGTGTCTTCTTTAAAAACCCCAGTGATGGATAAACCACAACTTCCGGTGGCAAGCAGTTCCGCTGGTTAATTGTTATCACTGTTGGAAAATTCCTCCTTAGTTCTAAGTTGCTCCTCTCCTTCTTTAGTTTCCATCCTTTGCTTCTCGTCCTGCTTTCAGGGGCTTTGGAGGATAAGTGGACCCCCTTCCTCTTCTTGGGGGCAGCCCCTCGAATATTGGAACGCTGCTATCATGTCTCCCTTAGTCCTTTTTTTCATTAAACTAGACATAGAATGGAACCTCGGGTCGCAAATGCTTCTGTTCGTGACCAAATCAGGTGGCAAACAAATAATCCACCCGATTTTTGAATCAGGTCACAATTCAAAAATAGGGTGGTGAACAAAATTGCTGTCAGGGCTGGCTGTCAGGGCTCCAACAAATCGACCCCCATTCAAACCATAAGTCTGTAACTGCACGTCTCAGAATTAAAAAAAAAAAAAGATTTATTGGGAGTGACCATGTCGGCGTTAGCTGGGTGCAGCCGACACTAAAATACATCATTCATTTCCCCCTTGACCCTGATCTTTCCCCTCCACCCCCTGGATGTATATTCTCCAATGGGACACATCCATAGCCCAGAGTCACCAATCATGCTCTCGGGCAATAATCTTGCGCGCCAACAGCTTCGGCTGCCAGGGTGATTATCTGAGGCATTTAAGGAATGCACTGCTTTCCCCCTACTCCCTTTCTGCTGGCAACTAAAAAGACCAAAGGAGCATTTATTTTTTTAGTTGACAGTGAAAAGATTCCCTTTCTGTGCCAGTTTTCCTTTCGGCGCCATTTGGTGGGGGGTCTTGTTGTCCACACCTGCGCAGACGGTCATGCTTCCGGTCATGACCAAATCGGGTTACGGCCGAAATCCTGGAACAGATTACAGTCGCGACCCAAGGCTCCACTGTAGCTAATTTCTGCAACTGTTCTAGATTCTGTCTGACTGCGCCCCCCCCCTCTACTGACAACTCTCTGCTCCCCATTTCAGGATTACGAAGGCCTCGACTTAGAGATGCTGGCTCCTTACATCTCGATGGACGACGATTTTCAGCTCAGCAGCACCGACCATCCGCCCTGGCTGACCGAGAAACGAGGCGATGCGGGGGCAGGACCCCGGTCCGCCTCGCCCCCTCCGAGACCTCGCTCTCGCAGTTTCCATGGCGTGTCCCCACGCCCGCTGGAACCGGCTCCTCTTCCCCGCTGGGGCAGCGACAGCAGTTTGAGCCAAGGCCGCCCCGTCGAGACCCCTCTGGCCAACTCGCCCTGCGGAGAAGGCCAGATGGTGGAGATGGTGGCATCGGTCAAGATCCAGTCTGTGCAGGACGGGGCCGGTCTGAACGGCCAGAGGTCTCCCTTGGGCGGGAGGAAGAGGTCAGTCGCTGACTTTAACTCAGATCAGAACTTGGAGGGCGATAACACAAAAGAGGGGTGCAGCGGCTCAGCGGCTAAGGCGCTGAGCTTGTCGATCAGAAAGGTTGGCGGTTGGGCGGTTCGAATCCCTGGCGCTGCCTCACGGAGTGAGCTCCCGCTCCTTGTCCCAGCAGCTTCTGCCAACCTAGCAGTTCGAAATCACGTAAAAATGCAAGTAGGAAAATAGGGACCCCTTTGGTGGGAAGGGAACAGCGTTCCATGCGCCTTCGAAGGCTTTTAGTCAGGCCGGCCACATGACCCCGGAGAGACGTCTTCGGACAGCGCTGGCTCTCCAGCTTTGTAATGGAGATGAGCACCAAGTCGGAAACGACAAACACGTGTGTGCAAGGAGGGGAACTTTTACTTTTACCTTAAGACAAAAATAGAGAAGGTGAAGGTTTGTCTGGCCCAGCTCATCCCCTTTACCTGCTAAAATTGGAAGTTTAAAATTAAAATCGTTTTGAGGAACGGGGGCGATATCGCGGCCGTAATTCTTCAATCTGCTCGTCATGGAAAACAGGGTTTCTCAGCCTCGGCTGCTTTTTAAGATGGGCGGATTTCCAACTCCCAGAATTCCCCACGGCTGGCTGGGGAATTCTGGGAGTTGAAGTTCCCCACCACCTTAAAGTCGCCGAGGTTGAGAAACATCGATCTAAAACGTGTGCCCTGAGCCATTTTGTTTTCAGAAAAGCCCGTCTCTGGGCCGTGTGCCACCACGGCCCTCGCCACCTCACCTTGAACCCGTGTTGGGCTAAAGTTTCTCCCCGTTCCCCCAACAGGACTCGGGAGATTAGCCTGGACGAAGAGAGGGACCTCTTCCTGGAGACCAGCCCCCCCAAGCGTGCCCATAACCACGAGGCTGAAAGTTTCCTGATGCCCTCGCTTAGCCTGGTGAGTTCTGGAGGGCCCCACCCATTGGGCAGGAGATGGCCTGGCGCACCCACCCACCCAAAACTCCTTTGCGAGAGACCACCTTCTGTTCCGCCAGGGCTTTCTGCTCAGCGTGGAAGAGTGTCTGGATGCCCGGTCCGAGCGGGCTTCTGTGGTCCTGGGCAAGAAGCTGCTGGCCCTGGAGGAGCCCATGGGTGAGTGCCACTGGGGTCCGGAATTGAGCGGCTGTGTGAACAAGGCTTGGCGGGGTCAGCACGGAGCCCCTGCCCTGCCCCTTTGACCTGGCGTTGCTGAATGGACATTTCTCGTGGGTTGGGCGGCCCCCGATGGCAGCTGCTTGGCGGGGGGGGGGGGGAAAAGGTTAAACCTGAGCCTTGCCTCTTGGGGGGGGGGGGGGACACTCTCCCACGCCCCCGTATGCCTCCTGAGAGTCAAATAGGGGCCTCGGTGATCTCTTGAGATGGGTTGTTCTGTTGTAGATGTTTCATGACCGGACTAGGTGGCAGCTTCAGTGCTAGAAGGGGGTGGGGTTTGTGGAGTGTAAGAGAAGGAGAAGAGGAGGAGGAGGAGGAGGAGGAGGAAGAGGAGGAGAATGCAAAGAGGAGGGGAAGGAGGAAGCGGACGGGGACGATGGGCTCCTTGGAGATCTCCCAGCTTGGTGGTTTTGCAGATGTTTCATGACTCAACTAGACAACAACATCAGTGCTAGAAGGGGGTGGGGTTTGTGGAGTGTAAGAGAAGGAGAAGAGGAGGAGGAGGAGGAGGAGGAGGAGAAGGAGGAGAATAATGCAAAGAGGAGGGGAAGGAGAAAGAGGAGGGGGACTCTGGGGTCCTTGGAGCTTGGTTTCCCCACTTCCGTTTAGCATTGATGATGGGATACGAGGAAGGGGCTCAGTGGTGGTTGGCCAGGGCGTCCCTGTGAACCCTGGGAGATGTAGTCTTGCTGGCGCAAGCAACCAGATCCCACTCCCAAAAGGCCCAGGTTATCGTGCTCTACTTCTATTGCAAGACTGCCTGCCTTCCCTTGGGAACAACAACCAGAGAAGCTCCCATCAAATTTAGGTGGCGTCGGGATTAATGCCTCTGGCAGCCGTGCAAGGATTCAAGGCTAGTTCCCCGCTTGACGCTTCCTCCTCTCCCGACATCCTACCGCGGCCGGATTTGAAGGGAAGCCCGAAAAGAAGGTCCCAGCTCCTGATGACCCCCCCACCCACCCACCCCTCTCTCTCTCTCTCTCTCTCTCGCCCTCCTGGCTCTCTGACCTCAGGCCTTTTAGGAGACATGCTGCCCTTCGTGGTGGACGGACCAGCGCTCTCCCAGCTGGCCCTGTACGATGGCGAGGAGGAGGTCTCCGGGCGTGGCGGAGAACACTTCCAGCTGGGGGAGGAACTCCTAGTGGAGCTGGACCAGGCCACCTGAAGTGGCGCCCTTGACCGCCCTCCCCCGCCCCCACCGCACCTCCATCCCACACTCCTGCTCTGCAGATGGGACACCCGGAACCAAATCCAACCAAACGCCCTCAGGGAGGGGTTCCTCCCGGCCCCTCCCCCACCCGTCCACCCCTCCCCTGGCGTTCTTAGGACTCTTCCTACCTCAGTCCCGTCCCCTCCCCCCCAGGCAGCCTCTCCCCTCTGGAGACGGTGGGGGAGGAAGGCCTCTGCCACCCCTATTGGTGCTTATCCGCCTGAATGTTCTTGAACCCAAGAGGAAGGGGGAACCCAGGGGTGGGATCGATTCCCGGAGGGAAGAGAAAGCACCACAGAGGGATCCCACCACCCACCACCCCCGGACGAGAAAGAGCGGTGCGGAGCCCCCGGGGCCTGTACTTTTTCCTCTGTCCTCTGCTCGCGAGGACAGACCCTTCAGCACGCGCCCGGGTTGTAAGGTCAGCCGTTCCTGGGACAAAGGGGTTTAGCCCTTCGAGGGAGGTGAAAAGTGGGGAGAACCTGCTCCGAGAACGGGGTGAACGTCCATCTGCGTTAGCCTCTCGGGGGTGTGTGTGTGGAAATGCCTCGCCACGACTTCCCCAACATACGTACGGTGCCTCCCGTCGACCTCAAAGCAAGGTCTCACCTTTTGAAAAGGAAAAGCAGGGAGGTCCTCAAGAGTGTCTGCTCCTGAGAGGACGTTTTGGCCAGGTGGGAAACACCTGTCCTGGACTCTTAGAGCGATCTTTCCCCCTTAAAGATGGCCGACCGATGGAAGAATCAGCCCCCAGAACAGCTGGTGCTTCGGCCCTATCCGGGCCTACTTAAAAGATCTTTTTCTGTTTACAAAACGTTCTCAGTTCTGCCTACGTTCAGCGCAGAGAAAAATCAGATGCCATGTTGAAAACAAGGCAAGCTGGAAATAAAAGCGTCAGAACAAAAAAACAACAACAACCAAACACCGATTTTTTTTAAGAAAAAAGCATGCCAGCTTCCCTTATCAAGCAGTCCCCAGGTGTGTTTTGAAGGCAGGTAGCAGATCTGTGACTCGGCCAGCTGTCACGGCAAGGCAAAGCACATCTGGAAACAGACGGATTGGGGAAAACTGGCTAGCTTGAAAATTTTGACGCCTGGGAGGGGGGGTTGGGGAAACATCCCAAAATAATTTTTTTTTAAAACAACACCCAACGCCCCATGCAACATTTTGAACCTGCCAGTCGTCAAAACTTTCCGAGAAAAATAGAGGAAAAAAAAAAATTGCAAAATTCCCAAATTCTAAAAAAAAAGGATTGCCAAATCCGAAATCCGAAGAGAAATTTTCAGGAGCCTTAAAAGTACGGCCTAAAAAAAAAAAAGAAAAAAAGACAATTTCCACGACAAGTTTTTTTGTAGTGAAGAGGAGAACGGCCGTCCTGTTTTTAAACTTCGAGTTGGACGGCCTGTTGCAAACATCTCCGATAACGGGGGGGAGGGGGCGGGGAAACGCTTTCCGTTAAGCGAGTTTGAACCGGTGCTATGAAATGTTATCCGTTGTTAGAAATGACATTGTTGTCGATATTTCAATCACGAGATATATATATATATATATTTTCTATTTTTAATGAAAGGGGAATCGAAATTTCCACAAAGGTGCTCTCTTGTGTTTTTAACACCTCGATCCCCGTCACGTTTACTTGGAAGTAAGTTGCGCTAAAATCAGTGCAGCTCAGTTCAAAGTAACGATGTATAGCTGGTTTTTCAAACTTGGCTTCTTTAAGATAGGTGGACTCCAACTCCCAGGATTCCCCAGCCAGCTGGCTGGGGAATTCTGGGAGTTGAAGTCCACACATCTCAAAAGCTTGAAAAACCGCTGGGTAGGAATGACACCCAACTTTTTTAAAGCCCGATTTTATGAATGTTTTACTCAGAAGCTAATCTCATGATGCTCAGTGGATTTACTTTACTTTCAACTCAAAAATCGATCGCAATCTGACCGGCAGCATGGAAAAGTAACTCTGATGCGGGGTAAAAAATTGCTTTCCAATGATATCCCCCAAATTCCATGATTAGAAACTGACGGTGGTGCACTGCTAACGGTTCAGACCGGTTCTAGAGAACCGGTTGTTCCGGTGAGCAGTTGGCCCCGCCCTGCCCTATATTTCCCTGTTTTTTAAACTCGGCTGATTCGCGCGGCACAAAGGATTGCCGCGCCTCAGCTGTTTTACTCTCCGAAGCCCCAACCGGTTGTTCAACCGATTGGAGCCCTCCACTGGAAAGCCACCAAACTCTTTGCAGTCACGTAAACTCCCCAACGGGCTTAAAAAAAAAAAAAGCCGCTTTTCCATTCTGCAAGTTCCGTGTCTTCTGGACAAGCAGACGTCATCAAAACGTTGATGCGCCTCTCCTTTTGTCCTGTCTTCGGGATTGAGAAGGCCAACCCCCCCCCTCCCCAAGCGTTAATACTTACGTAAAGGGGTTGCACTTAATTAAATAATCTTGAACGGTGGCCCAGGAAGGAGAATGTGGGCCAGTGTTTAAGTCCCGTTGTAACATTATCCCAGCGAGTAAAGCTTGATTTAGACTTCCAACTGCCCGCAGGCATCGACACATATCTCTACGCCGCAGACGACTTGAGGTCTTCTAATCCAACCCCTTCCTCAGGCAGAAAATCCAATATCATTTCAGACAAATGGTTGTCCGATCTCTTCCAGTGTTGGAGCATTTACAACTTCTGGAGCCAAGTTGTTCCACTGATTAATTGTTCTCACTGTCAGGAAATTTCTCCTGAGTTCTAGGTTGCTTCTCTCCTTAGATAGATTAATTTTCATCCAGTGCTTCTTCGGGGTCCTTTGGAGAATAGATTGACACCCCCCTCCCCTTCTTTGGGGCAGCCCCTCAAATACTGGAATCCTGCTATCATGTCACCCCTGGTCCTTCTTTTTTTCGTCAAACTAGACATACCCCATTGCAGCAACCATTCCTCATATATCTTAGACCCCAGTTCCCCAGACCAATTAATTAATCAGAAGACTCTGCTCAGTGGAAATAATCTGCCTTCTAATCCCACGAAGCCAATTCTGAAGTCCACATTCCTGAAGGCAGGATCAGACCCCCGGAAAGGCCAACGACAGCACACAAATCCCAACACAGCATTGCGCAGAGATGCACACGTTTCATGCTGATTGTCGGACACCTATGTTGTTATGTGCTTGGTTCCTCGAGCACCGCACAGCCACAACATCAACATTCGCAGACTTATAAAGGCCACAGGCTACGCAACCATCTCCGAACAACAGGCAGGGCACTGTTCCCTGGCATGCGGCGAGGCCGAAGTCTAAATCAAGCTTAAACACTTGCCCGAATATCACACCGGACACGGACAGTAATTCTCCTCTCCGCACGGCCCTTACAATCCGCGCAACCCTTCCCTACAAATAATACACACAAGGACGTTTTTGTCAATCAATGCCTTTAGCGATGGGTTGGGAGGAAGGTCCCCCAAAATGCCCTCTTTAGGGAAAAAAAAAAGAAAGAAGAACAAGAAGTTTGCCTCTTTTGGTTTTTCATTTTTCTAGAGATCTAAATAGATAGGTATAAATCCCTCAGTTGCTCAGCTCACGGCCTTGCTACTTTTAACAGCAAACTTTGACCAGCTTTTTTTTTTTTTTTGCATGTTAAAAGGTTGGATTTCGCACCCGGTCCCAAACCAGGCTTAGTCTGCACAATTCACTGCTTTTCCCTCCCGCTGTGCAAATCCTTTGGATTTAAAAAAAAAAAAAAAAGGAAAAAAGGAAAACGGAGTGACAGGAGACAACGTAAGCTAAAACCAGTGTTTTCTCACACCTTCCTTAGGTGTGTGTATGTGTGTGTGTGTGTATGTGTGTGTGGGTCCATCCCGTTGGTGCTTGTGTCCGAGAAAGGTTGTCATTTAGCTTGACGGGGAACCCAGGGACCGGCCGCTTTTTCCGTAGCAGAAGTGGCCCAGTTTCCCAGCTAGGTAGCAGCTCCAGAAAAATCTCTATTCTGGAAGCTTCATATTTGTAGGACTTTTTAGCCAAGTTCTCTCATCCCTCTTGGTGCTTTCTTCTCCTCTGCCCTGCCCACACACGTGGGGTCATTCAGTAGGGGGGGTGGAGCACCCATCCACAGGTGTTAACGGGCCCACACAGGACAGGCAAGTCCTGGCCCTCGGTCGATGCACGATCGCCTCTGTTTTCCACAGTGGGGGTCCCCCACTCCCATCCAGCTGGGGAATGACCGTTTTGCAAAAGTTTCGGGGTCTGGCCTCTCGTGCAAGGCGGCAACGGGACGGGCGAACTCTCTTCCGGAGGTTCCCCTCCCTCCCGTTCTCTTTGCCGATCAGCCGCGTAGAAAACCGCAGTCTTAAAGAGGGGGGCCGGTTCTGCCCCGGACACCACCTTTGCCTCGGTCATGGTTCACCCGTGCCTTCACATCAACAACTTCACCAGCTGCAACCGCAAGACACAGCCCAGCCACGAATCCGTCCCCTTCCCAATCGTTTTCCCGGTTGAGGAGGGAAAGGCGGCCCTGGTCAGTGGCACATAGCGGAATGGGAGAACGTGGCTAATTCCCAGACCATCTTGCACAAGGTAGGTTCCTCCTTGGTGCCATGGAGCACGGGACCATCCCTTCCCGACGTTGTCGTTAACGTTGCAAGTTTCGTGGTTCGGAGCGTGAGAAGATCGCCGAAGGGAGCCGTGAGGACAACCCGCTCCGCTTGGACCTACCAACCTGGACTGTTTCCCTTTTCGTCGCGAGCCAAGCTCTCACGCACACCTACGTGTACACCCAAAATACAAGCGCACACACCAATGCAGTACACCAAGCACGCGCAATCTCACAAATCGATGGGCCGCAACTGGCTCAGGCAGCTGTATTTTTTTTTTTTTTCAAAAGCCGCACTTGACAGACACGCACAGAACAATAGAATTTCAAAGCCAGGTGAAGAACGCAGGATAAGATGTCTCTCTTTCTCTCTCTTCTTCTCGTTTTTGTTGAGTTTGTTAGGATTCTAATTTTAAATCCCCAGCCACAGAGCAAAGGGGCATCTTTGCCTCCACTGACCGTCCGCCGTTCCATTTTGCTTTCTTTGTATCGTGTAACCTTTCGAACCCATCTTCTTCTTCATTTCTTGGGGATCCTGGTGGGAAAAAGAAATGATGGTTCTCCCCAGTTATTGTTGACGTTTTGCTGTTATCATAGGAATTGTAGCTTTTTAACCCAATGGTCTGCCCCAAAGCTGGATGCTGCTGCTGCCTGCACGCTTCTCCGAATGTCCAGCAGACCAATTCCTCTTGGGAAAGGAGGAGCAAGAGGCCGGTGTCTCTGGGTCGCCTGGGCCAGCGCCCGTGTCCACAGCCCCTCCTCTCTTGGCCTGCAAGGGGAACGTTTCTCGCCTGCTTTTGGCCGTTTGTACTTCTGGGGACGCGTCGTGTAACGGCGACGTTTGGTGCTACGCTCTCCCCCCCGAGCAACGGTGCTCTGTTCGTCCTTGAATTTAGACCACGGTGTGGCCATGGTGCTCTCGTCCCCTTTCCAAGTCGCTTGGAGCGGCTGCCAGCCAACAACAACCGGGTGCCAACACCCTCCTGACCCCGACGGAGATCTGACCTCTGGCTGGCAGCGCGGCCCAAGTGCCCATGGTGCTCTGCTCTCACACGCCCCCTCTGCCCCGCCAGATGGCCCAGAGGCAGTGGTGCTAAGTCCCCTTGCTCCTCTCGGCCCTTAACTCGGTCTGTTTGGAAAGCAGAACGGCCACCAAAAGAGCCTCTCAGCTGTCCGAGTCTGCCCTGACCAGGAACAGGACGGGATGCTCTTCCAGAGACCTTCAGAAGAGATGGAGACGGTGGCCGCTCAGGGCGCCCAAACGACACCCGTCTTCGGTTGCGGTTGCTCAGTTGCAAGCCACGCGGCGCCCCCCCCTTCCCTCTGCTCTGCAGCGGTGGTGAGTGGACGATGGGTTGTGGGAAAGCGAGTGGTTGCTCCCCTTTGGTGGTGGGTGCCACCTGACCCAAAGCAGAACATTTACGGAGATTTTCAATCTTCCAGGTCATGCTTGCCCCAAAGGTGGGGGGTGGTGGTTTTTCTTTCCAAAAAGGCAACTGGGCTTTCTTGTTTTTCTTTGAAAACGTTTCGCTTCTCATCCAAGAAGCTTCTTCAGAACTAATGAAGCTTCTTAGATGAGAGGCAAAATGTTTTCAACGGGGAAAAATAAGTCCAGTTGCTTTTTTTTGGGGGGGAAAAAGGGACTTTTGGCCTAACCTTCGGACTTGGGACACCAAATTGCACCCATGATCTGCTTTCCTCAACTCGGGGCCCCCCAAAAGTGTTGGTCTTCTGCTGCTATCCTCTCAGCCAGCTCTAGCCACGCTGGCTGGGAATGTTAGCAGCAAATATTCCAAAGTCGGGGGTTATTCCAAGCTGATGAGATTGGGGTGTAGCAGGATGACCGACATGGCAGCCTACCCGACATTGGTGCACTGATTCTCCCGTCATCTCTTCCTAGAGTGGCTCTTCAATGGTCTCTGGAAGACCACCTGCTCTACCCCGCTACGATCCAGAGACACAACCTCTTGCTCTTCTGGCCACCCCCTTTTACGCACACACACACCGCCTTTCGCCCATATTGTTGTTGTGCCAGCCAGCAGTGATAAGATCACGGTCTGGAAGCTGCCTTCTGGAGGAGTTTTCCCTGGTGGACGGGTCTCCTTGAGGGTCAGCCTTGCTCAACATTCTCTGGTGCCGAACTTCGAGATCTCTGGCCCAGAAGAGCCTCGTTTTATATCTCGATGCTAATGAAGTCCAACTATCTGGCCAGGTGCTCTGTGCAATCTGGATGCGTGCTCCAGAGTTGGGCCCAGCATCCTTGGAGCCTCCAAAGCCAAGACTTGATAAATACTGCCTCCTTGTCCTACTAGCCTTTGGGTCTTCGCTTTCCTCAAGTGCCTCGTCGTATTTCCAACTGGGGATGGTGGGTGCCAGTAATTTGTTTTTATGCCAGGTTTGTTTATCACCAGACACCAGGCAAAACTACACCGGGGTTATTGGCATTTTAGCCCTGGTAGGACTCCAAACATAATCCCACCTGTCACATAAACCAGATCATGGCTTGCTTTGCTTGGTCATGTCCGATAATACAAACCCAACAATCCCAGATTTCAGGTTTAATCAATATAGACTTAGGCATCCCTGCTATGCCATCTCAGGAACACCTGACTTTTGAACATGTCGGTGGCAGTTCTGTGGAAAAGGTGTAGTTCCGCAAACTGGTTAGAGATTAGAGGCCAATGATTAATAATATAAAGCCTACTTTTTCAAAATCCGCTGTACTGATAGAAGAGAGAATATTTGCAGCTCGGGGTTGAACTTTGAGATCCTTGGTAGTCTCTGAGTTGGTGGTTTTCTTGCAGATGTTTTATGACCCAACTAGGGAACAATATCAATGCTAGAAGGAAGGGGGGGTTTGCTCTCTCTTACAATGAGCTTGCTCTATAGAGAACAAACCATAATCCTTCTAGCACTGATGACCTAGTTTGGTTATGAAACGTCTTCAAGGAAGCCACCAAGTTCAGAATGCTCTCACAGAACCCCACAAAAACCTGATGGGTTGAACTTAAGCTTTTGTCATCCCCATTCAGCCCGGCCTAGATCATGGGGGGTAAAGTCCGATACCCTCAGAAGGCACAGAAGGAGTAAAAACACACAAGTTTAGAAGTTGGGAGAGAGAAAATCACTCTGGCAACTGAGAACATAAAGACGCGCAAATTGCCAACAGGCGACCTTGATTTTAAGACCGGGCTAGTAGTGTAAATAAGGAGAAGTCTTCACTTTGGATTCCGACATTTGGGGTTAGTCTTTCAGACACGTCTTAACTGGGAAGGAGGTTCAATTTGTTGTTATGTCAGTTTTCCAACTTCTGATCCAGGGAGACAATTCACGAATTTCTCCGCGGGAGATATGAGAGAGATCAATTTCCCCAGAAAATCATCCACCTATACATCTTAAACCAACCTCCAGCTGGCAGACAGCTTCTCAACTCGAGGTTTCTCAACTACGGTGAGTTTTAAAGGTGTGTGGACTTCAACACCCAGAATTCTGGGAGTTGAAGTCCACACATCTTAAAGTTGCCCAAGTTGAATAAAACACCACACCTGTCTTTGAAAATCTGGCTGGCATGACAAGGAATTTTGGGGAGGCTGTTTCAAAGGAGATAACCGTGTAGGAAGCTCCAGCATCTTCAAAAGCTTTGGGATCTGTTCATATATAATTTTTATATATACATATAAATATATTATTTTCCTCTATCTTTGTGTATGGTTAATTTCCCTCCTCCGTCCCCCTCTGTGGCGGGATCAAGTTTGGCCCCCTGTTATGTCTGTATGTATCACTGTTGTGAAACATAAAATACGTCTGGTAACATGCAAAGGACTTTACGTGTGTGCGTGTGCGTTTTTAACCTTGGAGGTAAGAATAACAAGGACCAGCAAAGGAAACCCCCTTTTTTGGGAGGGGGGGGAGACAGGTGGGAGGGGAGGAAAAAGCAGCTTTGTTGAAGCAATTGGCAAAATACAAGCAAGTCCTCAACTTACAACACAAAGGCAACCATTGGTGCTGCTAAGTAAAAAAGTCACATCTGATTTTATGACTCGCAAGAGCGAGAACCTGTCAAGTCCACTTTTTTCCAGTGCTGAACTGTTGCTAAAGAACTAGTTGTAAGTAAGTCAAGGGCTAGTCCTCCACTTGCAACCATATACAAAGGAGCCCAAAATTTCACTTGCTAACCAAGAGAAACCCCTCAAAGCCAGTTCTGAAGTCCGTAGTCCTGAAGGCAGGATCAGACACCAGATACAACATAATTTTTTTGGAATCCTATGTACCCTGTTTCTTTGAAACTAAGACCCAACTGGAAAATAAGCCCTAGCATGATTTTTCAGGATGCTCATAATAAATAAGCTCTACCCCGAAAATAAGCCCCTGTTAAGATTGGCAGCTAGATGGATGCATTTAGAACCGTATTTCCCCCAAAATAAGACCCAACTGGAAAATAAGCCCTAAGCATTTTTCAAGATGCTCGTATTATAAGTCCTACCCCCCAAATAAACCCCAGTTAAGATTGTCAGCCTGACATTTGGAGCCATATTTCCCTGAAAATAAGACCTTAACTGGAAAATAACCCCTAAGGTGTCTTTTGGAGCAGAAATCCTATAAGACCCGGTCTTATTTTTAGGGAAATGTGGTAATCCTGGACAACTTTCTTCATCAGTTTGAGTTTCTACAAAAAGCCTCAAATGTTCAGACTTTTATGGAGCAGAGAAGCGTGCAACAGCAGCTGAATCCTTGCTTCGACTTCAGACTGCAACGCTATGCAGATTAGTCTGAGCGAGAGGGATGGATCGGTGGAGGTGGAAGGAGTCAGACCCAAAGAACAGGAGGCAGAATCCTGCACCTTTTCTGCAGAAACTGTCTTGTCATCACAGCACAGAAGCTGCGTCACCAGGAATATCTGCGCGTCAGTGCATGATACGATGATGGTGGGGATCATTTCTACCCTACCTAACACATGCCGAGTATCGCAAGCTGAAATGTCCAGGGAATGAAACAGCCAAATCTGCTTTTTTTAAAAATGGAGTTTTATTCCCACCCAGTGGTAGCAAATCAAAAGTGCAAGCAATTTAATGTCACCTCTTCAGAGAAAATTAACAATCACAAATGAGTCTGAATTTCCTGTTGTTAGGAGAGAGAGCTTTGCCTTGCCTTATGACTTTTCTTGCCACATTCGTTAAATGAATCACTGCCGTTGATAAGTTAGTAACCTGGTTGTTAAACCAATCTGGCTTCCCTCTTGTCTTTGCTTGTGAGAAGGTCGGCAAAAGGGATCACCGTCATAAATATGAGCCAGTTGCCAGACCTCTGAATTTTGATCACGTGACCATGGGGATACTGCAGATGTCATAACTAGAAAACGGTCGTAAGTCACATTTTTCAGTGATGTAACTTTGAATGGACACTAAAACAAGCTGTTGTAAGTCGAGGACCAGCTGTAGTGGGAGTGAAGTTCGTTCAGTACTGAAATAAACATCAGTATTTCCTTCCCCCCACAGACACGGAAGATAGCTACCTTTCTCTGCCCCCATAACTCCTATGTGAACTGTCCAATTGATAAATAGTTCTGAGTTCTGTCCCCTGAAAGTTGTTCAACATCACTTCTGAATAACGGTCATCATGTGTTGACCCAAAGAGGCATGGCACAACAGCAACAAAGTCACAAAAGTATGTCAAGCCCCTTTAATTCCTCCAACGTGGCCCTCAACGTTCAGTTATCATCGGCTGGAGAAAAAAACACTCCCAAGAACAGTTTTTAAAGGGAAGAAATTCAGTCTGAACCCAAAGTACATCTAAATTATAAATAAAAACCAACACAAACCTCTCTGTAGCAATTAACGAGACAGGGCAGGATAAGGAATTGAAGACTTCAAAAGATAACAAAACACACATTTGGGAGGACACCAGAACCCAGATAGGACTTGACAAAGATAATTCATGCTTTGCTTCCAGCAAGGTTCTGTTCGCAAACGCCCTTTTAAAATCCTGTTTTCCCAGCTGCAGCTAATGAAGAATTCAAGTGTGAACTAACAGATCCAACCAACTTAGTCTTTTACATGCAACAGAATGTTTGGATATGACCCAAGAAATTATCACCATTTTGTTTATGGCCCAATCTGGAGAAATATTAAAAGTAACCAATGAAAAAATGTAGAATGAAGAGAAAGCAGCAAGGACAGAGAATTGATGTGTGTGTCTAAAGCAGTGTTTTTCAAACTTGGCTATGAAGATGAGTGGACTAGCTGGAATTGTATTTGCTCAAAATTGGAAAAATGAAAAGATGTCGGTGGAGGAGGAGGTGATTAAGAAAATATTGGAATGTGCAGAAATGAGTAGATTAACGTCGACAATTAAGAGGACATATTTATATGATTTGGGATTTATTTTATCAATGGTTGGAAAATAAAGTAAGAAATTAAATGGTATTATTATAGTGATACATAATGATATACCGAATAGGCTATAATATGAATGTAAACTTAGTAAGAAATCTATACAAATATTAATATGTGCACAAGATGTATATACCCAGCCGACACACTCTATAACTGAAAAGATAGTTTTATTTTTTGTTTTTGTGATAAGAAAAAAAAAACTTTTTCTGGGAGTTGAAGTCCACTCATCTTCAAGTGGCCAGGTTTGAAAAACACTGCCTTAAAAAGCGGCACAAATGCATTCCTTTCCTTTTGTAAACCAAGCTTTCACGGCTTAGCATGTTTAGCATAACAATATTTATGCATTTAGTTATTTAATTTATATTGCCGCCTATTCACCCATGGCCACTCGAGGCGGGTTACACAATGTAAAACCATATTTAAAACAAAAAAATAAAAATAAAAAACAATAAAAACTAACAAAAAGAATCAACTAAATTAGTAAAGAACAAAATTTGGAAAAAAAAAAATATTAGGCAGCCAATCGTGGTTTAGTGAACCAATCATGGCTTAAACTGGCTTAACTCTCGGGGATTTACTACACAGAACAGCCTGAGAAGGGAAACGTTGGCTGCAGGTGATGCTAGCAATCCTTGAACTTATAATTAATATTTATTGCTACTTTCCCCTTTGACATCCGTTAGCCCAACATTGCGAGCCACGCCCACCCTCAGGAGGAGGCCCCGCCCCCCACTTTGGCCTTTTCTTGAGGATTTCAGATGAGCCAATCGCATCCGCTTCTAGCTCTCAGGCAGCCAATCCGGACTCCTGGAAACGCCCCCTCTCTGTCCTAAAACGATCGCTCTATCCCGATGCCTTTTAAACGGCGCTCTAGCCCACGAGAGGGAGGAACGGTGTTCTCTATGGCGAGGCGCAGCTCCTCCTTTTTCCAGCTCCGCCTTCCCCCGCCCCCCGCCTAAGCGGGTCCTCGCGGCGCTTCTGCGCCCCGCCCCACCGCTGACGTCTCCGCCGCAGGCTCCGCCTCCCCGCGCTTTTCCCGCTAAGCGGCGGTTTGCGACGGGCAGGCTTGACGGCTGCTGGGTTTCTCTCTCTCCCCTCCCCTTTCAGCCCCCCCGTGGCTGGTTGTCAGGGCGCCTCGCTTTACGGCCCGGCGGCGATGGCGGAGGGAGAACGGGCGGAGAACGGCAACGGGGGCGGAGGAGGAGGCAACGCCGGGCGGCCGCCGCAGGAAGGGGAGCCGGGGGCGCTGGAGCGAGCCGAAGCCCTCAAGACGCAGGCGAACGATTACTTCAAAGGTAGCCGGGAAGGAGGGAGGGAGGGAGGGAGGGAGGAGGCGGTGGGAGGAGTGGGAGGAATCAGGGGGCGGAGCCTGTGGGAGGGTGGAGCCTGCGGGGCGGGACCAGCCTCAGGAGGGGGTGGAGCCTCCTGCGGGGCGGGGCCAAAGGAGCATTGGCAGGCTAGGGAGAATTAGTCATTCCTTGTGGGCTGGGTGGACTCCAGGCCCCATCATCCCCTGCCGGCCGAGGGTGTGTGAGTGATGGGTTTTGTAGTCCAGGGTGATCTTCCTTGGGCTGAGAGTGTTGACCCGTCCTATTTTTTTTTAAGCCGTTGTGTCTGATGGGCATTAGTATTAGTTATTATTAGTTATTAATTAGTATTAGTTATTATTATTTATTGGATTGATACTGCTGCCAATTCACCCAGCGTGGTGGATCCGAGGCGGCTTACAAAATATAAAACAAACATTTAAAACCATAAAACGTTGTCCAACTGTCCTCCATTCCTGGGGCAGCATGGACTACGGCACCCATCTTCCACAGCAAAAGCGACCGATGGGAGTGGGGGGTCTTAACGAGGGTGGGGTTGGAGAGGCCGAGCTCTGGACAGAGGACCTTTCCTGGACCTTGGAGACCAGCATGGAAAGCTCAGCGAATCTTGAACTTCTTTTGCGGGGGAGCCCGGGGCCTTGCTGCTCCTATACAAGGACTTTGACTTGGCTGTGGATGATGGGTGGAATCCAGTGGGGAAAGGTCTTCTCTATCAAAGGAGCCACTTCATTCAACTCCGGGGTTGGGAGCATTGGCAGGCACAGACCTGATGCCAAAGACCGTCGGAAGGAGGAGAGGGACTAGGGGTGACCTTCCAATATTTGAGGGGCTGCACAAATAAGAGGGGGTTGGACTAGAAGACCTCCGAGATCCCTTCCAACTCTGTTATCATTCAAGACAAGGGGATGCTGGCTGGTATCCCGGTTTGTTATCCGTTCTTCACCTGAAACAGGCATGCAAGGCTTAGGCCTACCTCCATGCAGCCTTAATTATTCTCCTTTGGAGAATAACCTGTCCCTGTTTCGGTAATTTTCTGGGCCAGGAGACGATGAGAAGACCTGGGTCTGCTCCATCCTGGCCAGCAGAATCTCTCAGTAGAAGAAGAGATGTTTTTACAGACTTGAACACGATTTAAGACCATGTTCCCAACCTTAGCCATTTTAAGATGGGTGGACTTCAAGTCCCAGAATACTCCAGCCAGCAGCATGGTGTTCTGGGAGTTGAAGTCCACCCATCTTAAAATGGCACGGACTTAGCAAGTCCTTGCATGGCTGTAGGCCAAGGGTCTCCAAACTTGGCAAGTTTAAGACTTGTGGACTTCAACTCCCAGAATTTCTGAAAATTCTTGCCTTCCTTCGACAACTGTTATCTAGACCAGCAAGTTAGAATTAGAATTAGAAGAACTTTATTGTCATTGTCCAAGTACAACGAAACTGTGGATGCACCCCAGCAGCTGTTTGCAATACAATAAAACCAAAAATGAAGATAAGAAAAATGGAGTACCCACGTCTCCGTTTGCAATTTGAGAGTACAATATCTACGAATATACACGAAATATACATCCAACACTCACTGTAACGCTTTGCCAAGGATAATACACCAGAGATGGATTGTACTGTAATATGTTGTTATACATCTGAATGGGATATTGAGATTTCACATCTTTTCACATCTTAATAAGGTAGCGACTTCGCGTTTATTTGCGGTTCGGATGGCCCAGGGAAAGAAACTATTTGTTAGTCTAGTGGTGTGGGATTTTATTGACCTAAAACACCGTCCAGACGGCAGCAGGTCAAAAAGATAATTGCCAGGGT